GTGGCGACCCTAGATTAATAAAGGGACTAAGCCAAAAAAAAAAAATGAACGAATGAATGCATTTGAATAGTTTAGTAATCATTTATTTCGCATTCTGAATCATTTTTAAAAACCAGCAACTTTTCGGAAAAAACTGGTTTATGAATGATTCGATACTTAATTTAGTTTTGAAAAAATAATAATTAACAAAGTATGAAAATACAATCATTAAGCACATAATATATGTGCTTATATGTCAAGAATAGAGCATTTGTATCTTCAGTTATAAAGTGCTTCCTAGCATCTGTTAATGTAGAGGTATTACCTAACAGATAATGAATTCACTATTTGCTAATGCTTATTAAATGATTCATAGTGTGTAGTTATAATAAAGTGCTACCAAAAAAATATAGGCCTATATATATTGTAAATTTACTTCAAACTTGTGAAGCTTCTACCCGTAGTGGGCAGTGACAACTTACATATTACAATATTTACATTCTATTTTATAAATTGTAATCTTTTCTAATCTAGACAAAACACATATTGCTGTCAGTAATATTGCTGAATGTAAATGTGAGACAGTCATATTTTTTATATTTTGTGATAGAAGAAAGGTTTTCTCATATGAAGCAAAATTTACAATGTTTATTTTGCTAGCACACATTGTTGTTCTTTAGATTAACAATTAATCCATTAATCCATTAAAAAGAAAAAAAAATGTTTTTGTAATCTTCAAAGTTTGACCATTTGTTTTTGTGTTCGGAGTGGCTTTCCTTCTCTTTTGATTTCAGTTTGACAGCTCCAGCTACAATAATCTTAACCATGCCCCTCTGCCCGTTAGTTAGCTACAAGGGAATGATGTGCAAAAAAAGGCTCAGTTTTTGGTTCATGTGGACTTTATAAAATGTAAAATTGTGATACAATTAGACAGATGGATTTGTTTTAAACCTATTTTAGATGGCAGAATATTTCATGAGATAAACTATAAAGAATTTCCCCCTTTTATTTCAGTATCCTTTTTTCCATCTAAAATAACTGGCAAGCGACTCATCACAGCCAATTTCCACTTTTCCAATTGCCAATTTTCCAAAGCAATTTTGTGTGAATTTTAAACCCTAGATACAGTACATGTAAGTGCATAAACAGCTCTCTAATTTCCCACCAAATTTCTTCAGTAATAATCAACAGCCTCAACTGTATTAGGATGATTTGACGGGTGGCTTACATGACAAACTCTCGTTGTGTCAGTCATCAGAATTCCCCCGCTGTCAGCATGCGGCATGTAACTGACCTCTCATCGGCAGACATTAGGACTAGACTACTATACCAGCTCTGCTTATTCAAAGACACTCTAGACTGTCACGGCTCGGGCAGCTCATCCACGTCTCCTTTCCCACACAGATGACACCAGATCCGCATGCGGCCGGGGGGCAATAAACCTCCCAGACACCAGTATTCCAGCTATGGGTCGAGAGATCAGATATGATGTAACCGAGAAGCCTGATAAATGAGGGAAAGATGGATTGATGCTCCGTCTTTGAGATAAGACACACACCTATCTGTTTTCTTGCACATTCTTGAGAGCTCTTTGTAATGCGGGGAATAGTTTTGGCTCAGGTAGAGCGACTGCTAAGCAGAAGGCGCAAAGTACAGGATCCTTATCAAAGCTACAAATCAGATCTCGCTTAAAGCACAAAGTGGGAATGTTTCTGGTTTACCTTACAGCATTATGAAGATTGAGGGACTAGACTACAAATAGCAGTCGTGGTCTTTTGATATCAGACAGCCTGCGCTGCCGTTGGCCTCGCTCACGCAGGAGGGAGAGGCTGGCGAAAAAAACCTTCCCTTGAAATTGGATTTCTATCCTCTGAGATTAAGATCAGACTTCCACATCGGCCATATTGGAAAAACATGCTGCCTTGAGCCGTCCAGGATTGTGAGTTGAACTGCAGTCACCAGAGCATGTTCACATTTGACCTGCGGGGCCGGGGCCTCTGATCCCCCCCTGATGGCTTCCTGAGCGGGACGGGGCGCACTGACTGACAGCACAGAGGCCGAGCTCGTCACCCTCTGCTCTCCTGGAGCGACCCCTCACTTACAATGATTAGCCGCCACACCGGCTAACAAAGACATTCTGTCTAACTAAATCATGACAGGCAGACATCAGACAAATGAAGAGAATCATTCAGGAAAACTTGTTTCAAACTTGTTTAAAATAATACACAGACTGAACTTGAATGTAGTTTTTTTCATCTTGTGCTTTTCAAGTTCCTAGTTCGAGTTTGTACTTTTTTAAAACGTAGCCCTATCTAAATGTCTGAAGATCACGAATTATGTATCCAGAAGAACGTATGGCTGCATTTCTTTAATGCTATGGGGTGGTATGATGCTGTTCCTTTTCACGCTTACAGGCTGACCGCTTACCACCATGTGGACGGCTTTCCCACATTGGTTGACTTAAAATGCAAAGAGGAGTTCACCGCAAAACCAGGGTTCAAGTCTGGCAAAGAACGGTTCACGAAAAACAGAAACCCAAAAATAAAATAAACAAGTAAATAGCAGGGTATTGCTGTGTTCACACCAGATGCAGCATGCGCAGATAAATTCACGCGTTAACCTTTTGAGTTTACTTGCTTCATTCGCGCGTCACAAGCGCTTCATTCGAGGGTCAAATTCACTTCCTATCACATGCAGATTTGCGACATGGGCAGAGCTTTTAGCTTTGTTGTTAAATGGCTAACATGAATTTTATTGAGAGAATAGCTGTGCTTTATGAAGGCTGAAAAACAGCGTTGATTCATTTAGAGCCGGGCCTAAGTACACTAGATCCATTCTGAGGTGCACCCTGCTCTGTGAGTTCCTAAACTCCTCCAGAAACGGTACCTGAATGATGAAAGCTTTCAATCCTGCTTCCGACTGAGCCAAGCCCAATTTGTTGAACTGTTGTCTGGTGTCAGGTCAGTCGTAGCTTATGAAAACACTATTGGTTGGGTTTAGGGAAGGAGGAGGGCAGGTCAGTCGATTGGTCAGTCAGTCAGTGAGTCAACAGCGGCCAGCAGTAAATTTATGTGAGAACTGCAGGCACAAATGGCACTAGCGAGAAAAAAGTGAGATCTCAAGGAGAGCACCCCCTGGTAGAAAAAAAATTAGCTCCTGGGATGAATTTGGAGCTTGTTTTCAGAATAAGCCTGGATTGTTTATAACATTCTTTTAAATACAGCATAAATTAAATGGTTAAATAAAAATATATGTTATATAAAATATATTCTAAATACAATTTTTTAAAGTATTTTATACTCCCACACAAAAATGAATTTTTCTGAATATCAAATTGTGTTTTTTTTATTATTTTGTCATAAAATACATACAATTATATTGTAACAATGAACACATTTTGTCCCTATAAAATAATTTTGCAATTCCTAATTTGTAGTTAATTGGTTACATTACATTACATTACATTATAGGTTATTCCTATTTTTGTTGACACAATAATAACAACAGCAAATTATTCGACATCTTAAAACTATAAATCATTTTATTATTTGCTAATACAGTATTAAAATCAAGGATTTTATTTGTAAACATTATTTAATGTACATTGAAATAACCCAAACTATGTCTTTTTTTACTAACATTAACATGAATAAATGCCACTATAATAACATTGATTATTGTAAATAGTTTTTTAATTCACTTTATATTTAGATTTATTATTTTACTTTGAAAATCATACATTTTGTTTTTAATGTGTTAACAACCCAGTCAAATTTCCATGTTACGAAGCAACAGAAAAAATAAACAACATTCAAATATTTTCTGGTTCTATCTTACATCAGCTCCTGATACGATCAAGGTGAAAGCCGCTACATTGTGCAAATAGTTACGCTTCAGTTACAGTAAAAAGACTGACACTTTGTTCACTTTACGTTTCCTTTACTCTTAACTTCACACAAATGGAGAGACTTCCTCTTCTCCGGAGGGCGCCTGTAACAGTTGAATCATGACACTGAGTCACATACGGAGTAAGACATGGGCGCTATGAATCCTTGTTTTCTAACTCGCATTAACCGTAAAACCGCTCATTGTACCTGACAGCTCCATCACTTGACTGGAGATGTTTCCTATCCTATTATACTTACTCACAAGCCTTCTGGGAAAAAGGTCCATTTTCCTATGTTGCAGTGTCGCCGATAGACACCCACATTCATGCAAAACATCCATATCTCCTGCTGCGATCTAACCCCTAAATGCTATGTACCGCGCATTCCTATCTGCCTCTTTTCACAGTCTCCATGTACTTATCTCCACTTCCCCCTCCTCCTGCCCCTATTCCCTTCTTTCACATTTCATAAAAAACGTGTCCATCGCTTTATGCGCCCATGAGATCTGTCAGATCATCAGGTCAGATTCCTCCAAATCAAATGCTCCACATCGCCTGCGTGCGCCTGCATAAATGAACCCATCGCGGCCCTGAGAAGTGCAAGCAGTCGGACCACTCCTGTGCCTTATTTTGTCTTCCCACTCCCGCCCTGTAGGGATCTGACTCCAGTTGTAAAAACATGGGTTTAGATGCTTGTTTTTAAGAGCCCTCTCACGAGCAAACGAAAGCTGAGACCAGGAGTTTGTAACAAAGGGTCTTTAGAGGAAGACCGAGATGTTTTTCCCTGAGGTTCATGTTTTCCTTGTAGCCTGTTTGCCAAGACTCCTGCTAAACAAAGTCGGACTTGGCAATGACTTCCTTTCCTTAATACTCGTAATCAGATACGTGTCTTAAAAGTATACTGTTAAACGTAAGACTGGAGTTGTGTTATCCTCCGTGAGGACGCTAATACAACATCCTTTTCCAGGCAGTGCAACTTTGTTTTTTTTTCCCGGGTATAAACTGAAAACCGACCTTACAAATCTATTTAACATGCAGCGGTTGGGTTTAGGATACAAAAACCACCATTGCGAAACTAATCACCGCTGCACACAGACAAAAAAGAAAGAGAAAAAGCAGTCAACATGATACTCACAGATATAGTAGTATTCTCTGCCTGGCCGAAATTCGAAACCCAGTGAGAACGGTGTGAAAAGCTGAAACTTCTCGGAGAACTTTAGAGGCCCGTTGGGTGAGTGAGGTCGGTTGCACTCCCAGCGCTTGAAGCCTTTGGCCGTGTGGTCACAGGAGCTGTAGCCGTCATAATTGACCATGTAGAGGACATAACGCTCTGTCCGTTCCTCAGGGACAGTGTCCATGTAGTGCGGACAATATACGTCCAAATAATCGTTAATGCAGACATCAATGTGGTAGTCTCCTCGGTAGAACCTGTGACAAAAAAAGAAAGGCCGCGGTGAGTATATATGATATGAAATATTAGCAATGCAGTTACTCTCGTGTGCATGTTTTACGAGCCATCGAGCCCCTACTTCACAGAAAGGCCACTTCAGGAGGAAGCCACTTATTTGAGGGCAATTACCGCAAATGTGAAAGCACGTAAATCATCCAATCTCGTAAGCTCCGCTAGGGCTCACTGAGGATCGCGAGGAAAATTCATAATCCTGCCGTTGACGTGGACGCTTTAAATACGCCTGAAAGAATGAGATTTCCATGGGTGAGAGATGACAGCTTGAAATATGGCACTCGGAGGAATGTTTTAGAAGAAAAAAATGTGCATCTCTAGGGCCGAAGCGGCCAACTATTCTAGATTTACAAGTTGTTTTTTTGTAAATCGAGATGACCTCGAGAGGATCTAACCAAATATGAATGTCAACGGAATGTTCTTTCCGTCAAGGAAGCAATTTAAAAACATATACTCTCATAGGGTGCATAAAAGAGTTCAGTGGAGATGGATATGCTCAGCTTGGTTTAGAGAAAAAGCAATCCTGCTCCTGGAACCCAAACCTCTCTCTCCTCCAAACAGCTCTAACACACTTGTCTAGAAGTGTAGACACACAGTCAAATGCACAACCTTTCAAATTTGACTCAACTATTATAAGCACTGCCAAAAAAAAAAAAAAAAAAAAAAGTTTCTTACTTTTTTATAATCCAAATATCTAAAAATTCTTACATCAAGAAGCATTTTATAAACCAGCAAAAAATATGGGCTGTTTTCAGAAATAATAAATCAAAATTAAGTTTTGACTTAAGCAAAATTAAGCAAAATAATCTGCCACTGGGCTAAGCAAAATAATCTTGTTTTTGCTTTGAAACTAGAATACTTATTTTAAGATTATTTTGCTTGTTTTAAGGAAAAAAAGTAACTTTGTTTTTGAAAAAGAAGACAATATTTTTGCTACTTTCGAGGTACGCGAGCTGTCACTGGGGTGGTACCTTTTCAAAAGGTACACATTTGTGCTTAAAGGGTCCATATTGGTAACTCAAAAGTTTATTTTAGTAGCAAATCTTTTTATAAAAGGAACACTTTTGTCTTTTTAGGTACTAATATGTACCCTAGAGGTATTAATATGGACTTTTAGGTACAAATTTGTACCTTTTGAAAAGATACCACCCCAGTGAGAGCTCGCATACCTTTATTTCTGAGAGTGTAGTCTAGAAAATGTTTCTTGATTTAGGAATGTAGAGATATTGATACTAAAAACAAGTCAAAAACAAGGCAATGTGAATTGTTGACAACTTTTCATATCTCTCCAGGCCAACAGAATTCTGTCCGTGTGCCACAAATTATAACTTATATAAAAAGCATTGTAATTTTTCATGCTAGAGATAAATAAAGGTACTTTCTTCAAACACTTTCCCATCAACATAGACATCCATTGTCGATCCATGCTCCAGTATGTTTCATTTATGCAGTTTTTCTTTGATGCCCAAAGGCACGGACACCACCTGCGGATAAACTAATTACTATGAAGAAACAAACATCTGATGACAAAACTCATGTCACTCTGACCCTTGAGTACTTGTTAAAGATTAAGTTTACTTATTCATAAGCAAATCACCATCTGATTTTTGTGGCCTTACATGCAATCAAACTTTCCTGGACACTTTGAATAGTGTTAGCACAACTAAAACAAAGCATAAACACTTAAATGGGCTATTGTTTTATATAGAAAAAAATAAAGCAAAAAGATGCCTGTGTGGACTAGTGCATGTGATAGGGCAGTGGTACTCAAGCAACAGGCTGCGGACCAGTAGCGGTCCCTGGACCAATTACTACTGGGCCGCACGAGAAATCATTAATTACTTCTGTTTTGGAAAAAATCATTTACATTAATTATTTACAACTGTATTTGCTCGCTTACATCTCAATCACTTAAGCGGCAAATTTTTACCCACAAGTAGCAAAATAAGTAAGAAACAGACGTCTTTGGAAAATTTCTTTGCTAAAGAGAAAAGGCCCAGTGAAGGACCCACAAACTGCTAAGGAATGTATTCTCAACCCATTTGTCCACAAATCAGGTTAATCCATCATGTCTCTGCAAGAAGATCAACTATTGGAGATCGCAAATGATGGAGCATATCACGTCTTTCTTAGAGTACGCAAAAGTTTGTTATTTTCATCGGAGGTACATGGCTTGCGCCATCCAGTCACCCCTAGTTAAATGAATGCTGCGAGCATAAGTCACGTGACAAGAACTGACCGATCAGCTTCAGCTTGTATGGAATGTGCACATTTTGGAAGACTAATTATCTCAGACAAACACAGAACACCCAAACACTGCAGTGCTTTCTCCATAATAAAACTTGTATCAGAGTGACAGCATTGTATTGTCAGCTTGTCATCCTCTGAGAAAATGGTTGATGGTGGCCTAGCACAGTGGTTCTCAAAGTGGGGGTCGGGACCCCCTGGGGGCTCGCGGGACAATGAGAGGGGGTCACTTGGTTATTTAGAAAAATCTAATAAATTTGAATAAATGTTTTAAATTACCATTGTTTATCTATAACTTACAGAAGATAAAAATAGTTACATAAAATGCAACATCCAAACCAAAAGCCATCAGCCTTTCATTTTTTCCCCATTGGATCGCAAGCCCTGGGATTTTTACATTAGATTAACAACAGAGCAATAGCGTCACTTGCAGCAGATTGATTTTACGGCACTAGATAAACTTTGACACCTTTACGCAACTTATGTACATTTAAAATAAATACAGACACGACTGAATTAGTCTCCAAAATTAAACCAAGAAAAGACTTGTGATGTAACTTAAATATTGTACCCACCAGTCTCATTAGGTAGGGTTAATATTAAATAATAATAAAAAAATAGATATAGTTGTTAGACTGTTGCATTTTTTGTGTTGTCAATATACTTGTGTTTATAGGCATATTGGTTTGTGTGAGCAGTTGCAGGCAACATTTGTAGATTATAACCACTTTCGAAAGTAGTGGGGGTCGCCAGTCATTGACATTGTTATTTTGGGGGTCTCGGGTTGAAAAGTTTGAGAACCCCTGGCCTAACAAACTACAAACCATTAACTATGAATCCACTAAACACCACTATAGGCCAGGAGAGAAATTAAAAGTAGCTGTAATGTGTTTAAGTCAAATTAAGTATACTTTGAAAAGCTGTAAGCATACGCAGATGTAAATATTAAAAACTAATTATACGTTTTCCTTAATTTACAGTGTGTGTACAATGAACACTGTACACTTGTGCTTCAGTATCACTTGAAAATATTTTTCCATCAACGCTGAGTTAGGTGACGCCAGCGAACGTGACTGCGGTTTGGTGACTCGGCTTAAACGTGAAGGGTGCTCAGGATTCTGTGGGAATTTTTAGGGCGCAAGTCAGTGGACACTCAGGAGGAACCCTGGAGAGAGCCAGATGAGCTTCCAGGCTAATGTGAAGTTAGCGTTGCGATCCTGCTGTGGACAGAAGCACAGCTGGGCACGCTGACACAAAGATTTCCACTCATTACGGACAATAAAAGACTATTGAGAGCAGATGGAGCTCGAGACCTATCAGATTATCATTATGTGGATTTCAAACGCACTGCTGGAATACTGAGTTTCCCTGTAGGTTTGGCCGTTTTGGCAGAGGTTTGTGTGTGGGTCTGTGTACGCAGAGTGTGTGTGGATGTGTATCGATGCTGTTGGAAATCTGCAAGCACTTAAGGGCTATTTTGAACAACTATTGTTTACTACTCTTGGGAGCTACATCATTTGAAAGCAAAATCTAGGCTGTGAAAAAAACATACTTCCTGAGTGATCACGCAGTCCAGTGTTTCCAGCACAAAATCTGGCATTTGAAAGTGTGTAACATGAAAACATTTTTTTTTTGTACTTCGTCATTGGGCACTGGCAAAAACAAAACTATTTCCTGATTAAATTTATTGGCTTCTTGTGTTTCCTGTCATCTTTTGAAGTGGAATGATTCAATCTAGTGTTGAAAAGAAATAATGTTTTCCAAAACCACAGTCCAGAACGTACTGTGTGATCACGGAAAGATGCAAAACAAGTACAATGCTTTTCAAAAAGGTTTAAGTACTTAAATATTATGAACAACCATAAACTGAGAAACTAAAACAACAACAAAAAAATTAACATTAACCGAGATTACATTTCATTCATTCATTCAATTTCCTTTGGCTTAGTCTCTTTTTTATCAACGGTTGCCACAGTGGATTGAACCAGTAACTATTCTAGCATACGTTTTACACACCAGATGCCCTTCCAGCTGAAACCAAGTAATGGGAAACACCCATACACTACGGCCAATTTATTTCATCCAATTCACCTATATTGCATGTCTTTGGACTGTGGGGGTAACCGGAGCACCCAAAAGAAATCCACACCAACTAGCCCAGCCAGGACTTGAACCAGTGACCTTCTTGCTGTGAGACGACTGTTCTAACCACTCAGACTATGTACCGCCCCTAATAATAATATTTAAATTTCCATTTTAGTTTAATATTTAGTTCATGATACCGATAGCATTGAGTAACGTTAGCAGGGCTCAACAATAAAGTTAACATGACCAGGGCCAGTGTAAGAGATGCTCGGCGGCCATCTTTGAAACGCCTCTCGGGCAGTATGCTCGGGCATTCTGCATGAATAGGGAAACAACAAATTCTCCACAACTGCTTGCCCATCTTATGATTACATTTCATATTACGTATAACCAATAAAATAAACAACAACTGTCTATTTAGATTAATTTCTAAATGTTCGTTTCACACAAAATCTGCAGAAACTCACGTTTTAATGCTACCTACTGTGTGAAGCCTAAACACCATATTGCTTTTCGGTTCCTCTTATCTGATTGGATGTTGTGAGCACATTATTTTTTTCTGTAACCTGGTAAAGCCAGTACAGCAAAGAGACGGCAACATGATGGCCGCATCAAATTATGAGGCTAAAAGAAA